CCTAGTTACATTCTCTTCCTATCCGAGCAAAACCTCCCTATGTATGTATGATCATGGCACTACTTATTTCTCCACCATAGCACTTAGCAATGAATATATTTAGTTGTAATCTTTAATTAATATATCTCTTACTAGGCTGAAGCTCCATGAGCATAGGGGCTTCTTTCCCTGGCTGACAGTTATATCCCCAGTGTCTGCACGTAGAAAGTACCCAGTAACTATTTGTTGGAAGGAAAAGAAAAAGGACACCAGAAAAACCCAGGGTGGGGGTGGGGGGAGGAATTTGCTTATCTATTAGTCTTTTTAAAAGTGGGAATTAGATAGGGGCACCTGGGTGGTTCAGTTGGTTAAGCATTGGACTCTTGGTTTCAACTCAGGGCATGATCTCTTGGTTCATGAGTTTGAGCCCCACATTGGGCTCTGTGCTGACAATGTGGAGCCTGCTTGGGATTCTCTCTCTCTGACCCTCTCCTGCTGGCACTCGCTCTCTACCTCTTAAAATAAATAACCTTAAAAAAACTCTTTTTAAAAAGGTAGGCATTAGATAACATAGCATTATAAATCATCTGTCTCGTGCTATCCAAAGCCTCTTAGAGCTTGCCCAATTCACATGGCTTGTCAGGATTCAAACCTAGGCTTATTTTTCTTGTTTTTTAAAAGTACGCACCATGTTCCATTACAGTGTGTACATGTGAGCAAAGGAGAGGGAAGAAAGCAGAGCAAGACTTCACACAAGCACAAATCTGATCCTATGGCATTTCAATCCTTTTTTCAATATATAGGTAGGTCATCAAGCTTCACTTAAAGGCTTATAAACCTGTAAGCAGAGTCAGCAGACTGTTTTCGCACTCTTTTCTTGGAAAGGCCTTGCTTATATGGTGCTTTGTCACTCTACTTCCTGTTATCTGGGATTTGTGACACATAATTGAACTCAAAAAATAATCCTGTGTGTGGGCACCTGTGTGAAGGCACCTAAGATTGGCAAAGAGATCAGGTTATAGGCCAATGCCAAGCTCCCCCATCTTTCCAAAGGCCAATCCTGTGTTTGGTGGCAAAAACATACTCCTGTATGGAAAATAGCAACTTGGGGATCAGCATGATGCCTATTAGCATTTAATCTGTGAGTTTGGATGCTTCATTTGTCTCTGAGCCTTCAGTTGCCTATGTATGTAGAGGGAATGATATAAATACTAGACTTAAAAAAATAGAGCCCCTAACTCTGTGCCTGGCATTTTTACAGGCACTATTTCATCCAGTCTTCACAATGATCCCATGGGGGTCAGAAACACTCACTTTGTATCATGGGGAATGGTAAAGTTCTTACGATCTATTAACAGAGGAGCCTGGGTCCCAAATCCAGACCACTTAGCCACTACTTCCTTGTACTATGTCTCCTATTCTAGCAGGCCATTGAGAGAGCCTCAGAAAGAAATGCATTTAAAAGAACATGATAAAATTCTATGCAGTTTTAAGAGTTAAGCACTTCGTTACATTAGAGATGAAGAAGTAAAACCTGATTAAGATTTTAAGGGTGATGAATTAATTACCAGAGAACAGGTTACTTTTCTCTCAAGAGTGGTATTCTTTCCTATATTTGAAAAGTTCTCAATTTAAATAATAAAATAGAAAAGAATTCCATTTAAAAATGGGCAAAGGACATTTCTCCAAAGATCTATGAATGGCCAATGAGCACATGAAAAGATTATCATCAGCCATCAGTGAAATGTAAATCAGAACCACAAGGAGGTACCACTAGGTAGTTTATAATTAAAAAAACAAAAAACAAATAATAGCAAGCATTGAGGAGGATGTAGAGAAATTGGGACTCTCCTATATTGCTGTAAAATTGCAATCCCTGTAGAAAAGAGTTTGGTAGTTTCTCAAATCCTTAAACAGAGTGACTGTATGCCCCAGCAATTACACTCCTAGATACATATCAAAGAGAACTGAAAACAGATGTAAAAACCATACACAAACGCTCACAGGGGTACTGTTCATAATAGTCAAAAAGTAGGAACAACCCAAACGCCCATCAACTAATGAATGGATAAATAAAATGTAGCCTCTCCATGCAATGAAATATTAGTGAGCCATAAAAAGGAACGAAGGACTGAAACATGTTACAACCTTGAAAATACTATGCTAAGTGAAAGAAGCCAGTAACAGAAGACCACATATTATAGGATTCTATTTATATGAAATGTCCAGAAGAGGTGAATGAATCCATAAAGACAGAATGAATCCATAAAGAATGTAGTTTAGTGGTTGCCTAGGGCTAAGGTGGTGGGGTGGATTTCCGGGGGTAATAGCTAAGAGCACAGGGTTCTTCAGGGTTATGCAAATGTTCTAAACTTGGCTGTAGTGATGGCTGCCCAACTACAGTGAAAACCACCGAACTGCACACTTTAAATGGGTGAATTGTATGGCATGTGAATTGACTTCAATAAAGTGGGTTTTTAAGTTCTCTAAGTTCACCACAAACTGCATCTGCAATACAAAGCATCTATCAAAGTTTGCTTTAAATCAGATGGGTTTTTCTTATCACTGCCTGTAAGAATTGTTAGGATCCTAATAATTTTGTAGCATTTGCAGCATAATCTCTGATATCCTTCACAAGGATTGACTTAAAATTACATTTAATTTGTAGACTTAAACATAGGTAATACCAATAGACAGAATGCTGAGACTTTCAGGAAAAGGATACCTGGAGATCCAAATATGGCATCACCACGCATCCACTTAATCAAGAAACCCAAGAGTGGCTCGTGTTTCCTCCTGCCTTTGGCCCTTGCACCCATTCCATCAGCAGGAAGCTCTGTTTGTAAACTCCGTAAGGGTAGGATTTTCTGTTTATTTACTATGGGATCCCTGGTGCTTAGAACAGCACCTGACACACAGCAGATGCTTAATTAATATTTGCTAAATAAACAGAAGAATTCATGCTCTCCTTTAAACTAATCCCTTTTAAAGAAAAAAAAGTTAAATAAATCCCTCACTTGGTAATTTGTGGGTTTTTTTTTTTTTTTTTTTTTTTTTTTTTTTTTTTTTTTTTTTTTTAAGTATAGACTGTGGACGTTTTGTCTGCTATGCCAGTTGCTGAAACATATTAAGGCTAAATTCTCAAAGGGACACAGGTATGCTATGCTGCCAGAATATGTAGAAGTAGAACATAATAACTTTATTCAAGTTTGCTCCTGTTACCTGATCCATGAATATTTTAAAAGATATTTTATTTTATAAAAACTTACATCTGTAAGTAATGGACTGACCATAACAGAGGGCTTAACCTTGAATACATGGATAGGCTTAGGGGCCCATGAACCCCTAAAATTATATGCAAAATCTAACATGTATGTTGGCATGTGTATCTTTTTGGTGAGAGTTCATAGTGTAATCATATTTTCAAAGAAGCCTATGACTGGAGAGGTTAAAAAAATTACTTAACTAGAAACAATCACAAGTCTTTTAAACATGAATTTGTACAAGAAAATAAAATCCAACAGCTCCATCTATGGGTAAGTCGTTACCGCTTAGGAGAAATAATGACAACTACCAGAGATCAGTGCATCTTATGAATGCTTGTGTTTAAATCTTCAGTGTCACTCTAGTGGGAATTTATTAACTACAGTATCACAGTTTTTTTTCCTAGATATAGATGCAAAAATTAGGAGACTGTTGATGAATTCTACTTACAGTACTTCAGCACCAAAAAATTGGGCAGTTATGCTGATATATGTATGTACAGTTCAACATTTGTCAGTCTTAAAATGCTTATTTATAGTGAAATCTATATAAAACCGTTAAAAACTTCTCTATTTACATTTTTTTAAAAACAAAAAGAATTGCTTCCTTTGCCACAACTTGTCAAAACTGTTACCCTCCCCACCCTCTTACCCCTTGCTCTACTTGTGACAGACAGTGATCACAAGACCCAAACATATTGCTTAAACAAACTGTGTCCTAAAAGGCAGAATGCTTAAAAACATTACATTTAGAACTGTAAATGAATTTTTATACATTTCAAAGGGGGTTAAACGAAACTATGTAAAAGTTATTTTCAAAGTCTCAGTCCAACATGAATGTGCAATTTCAATGTTAAGATAGCATCATATGAATAATTTCTCCTGAACATAACTGAACAAAAGCTTCCTTTGGGCCAGAAAATGTTTCTTTTCCTCTCCTTCACAATGAAACATTTTCTCTTAACTTCTCTTTTTCTTAAAGGTGCTGGGCAGAGTGGGAGGTGGAAAGGGCAGGCAATCCTGGTTTACAGGAAATTTGTCAGAAAGAATACGGCCTGCTTTGAAATGTTTACATTTAAATAAATAGAAGGCAAGTGTGCTGCCTTGAGCACAAAGGAACAACGACACAATAAATTAGCATACAATTGGTGAGAATGTACAAGCCATCCAAAACGCACTTTCCCACTGGTTAGGGATCTGATTTCCACCATCTAAACAAGGATTCTTTAATGCCAGTATTTTTCTAGTTATTTTATAAACTATAAACTGAGCAAATGTAAAATGTTAATCAATTCAACACTTCCAGGGATTTGCAAAAACATACAAGATTTTTTAAAAAACCTGTTCCTGACACACCATTTCAAAATATGAACTATTCACATTCTCCTTTTCTGATGGTGTTTTGCTCAGTAAAAACCAGTTGAGGAACATTCACAGGAAAAGTCTCTTTCCACTGCACGACAAACTTTTCCATCAGCTGTGGTCCAACAGAGAAATATCAGGTCTTACACGTCACTGTAGATGTGCATCTTTCCTTTTTTTTTTTTCTTTCCTTTTTTTTTTAAAAGTACATTCCCCTGTGAGTTTTATCTTGTTTTAAAACGCTGCTCCTGCAGCAGTTTTGTTGAAACACTGCTATTTTGGGGTCCACAGCCTAAGCATGGGCAAAGTGCTCTCTTTAGACATCAAAAATCAAGGGCTTCCCTGGACACTTGGTAACCAAGTAGGTTTTAAAGTGCACTCCTGTGTCCAAAACACTTAGGACCGTTCAGCAGAACTCTGAGAGGGGCTGGGCTCGGTTCCATCTTCTGTGCTACTGTCTATGTCTTGCTCCATTGCCGTCTCATCGTCATCCAACTGCTGGCTAGTGAAGTTGTTGAGCTCAAGAAGCCCACTGGGCTCTACAACCACGTTGGAACTAGAGTGACAAGGAATAGCATACTGGGGAATGGCCTGGAAGAGAAGACAGGAGAGAGGCTTTACGGTAAGAAAAAGAACCAGAAGGATGTCCCCAACATCACTAAGGAAGGATAAGAGGACACTGACATTTACTGGACAACTACTTCACATCAGGCGCTGTGCTGGGTGCTCTCACATATAATATTCTACTAAATCCCTTCAAGAACACTATAAGGAAAATAGTATTCCCATTTACAAATGAGGAAACTAAGAGGGTAAGTGACTTAATTGAGGTCACACAGTTGGTCAAGGTTAAAGTGCCAGGATTCAAATCCAAGTTTTGTACAATTTAAAGTGATCTTTCCACTTCTTGATGGCACCACTTCTAGTAAAGGAGGCTGAAGTCTGTGCCTAATTCAAGAGACAGACATTAAAGGACATTTTCACTCGACCATTAAGCAAATTTTAAATGTAAATGTAGTCAGATTTCACTCATTATTATCTGCAAGATGAAGAATTAATTTGCTGACACCACAAAAAATTTTAAAACCTTCGGTAACCCTCTACTAGTTCAAAAGGAAGTTATTTATCTGGGTCACATAGTAATACTTTCTTGAAAATGAGAGAGGACAATACTGTCTTTTAAACAATAAAAACACCAGTAGACAAACACGTATTATGACCATATTGCCTTGTTAGGTTCTTCTTTCTCAACTTTATTACCTTTTTAAAAGGTCTACCTGTTTATATCATACCCCTGCTTAAAGTTCTACAATCGTTTCCTGTCGTACTTGCCATATAATATCAAACTTCTGATCGTGGCTCCAGGCATATGCCAAACTCACTTGGACCCTGGGCCTTCCCACTAGCTCTTCCCCTCTTCCTGGAGTACTTTTCTTCCAAGTCTCTCCATGGCTGGTTCCATGTTCTCATCTGCATCTTAGCTCCAATGCTTAGGGTAAAAGGCTTTGAGAAGCCTTCCTTCTATGACCATGCAACCAGATCACTGGGTAGGTCCCACCCCACCTCTATTACATTGTTAATTTTTCTTCATTGCATTTACTGTGTTTGTTAATCTTTCTTCTCGCTTTTAGAACGTAAACTCCATGAGAATATGTATCAGAGCACATATCTTGACTATCTTTTTTCATTGTTAGATGCCCAGAGCTCTGAACAGGGCTGTCATGCATTAGATGCTCAATAAACATTTGCCAAATGAATAACCTATCTTTAACATTAAAAGTCCCAGAGCAAAATTGAATATCATCATTTTAAAAATATACCTGACCAAAACAATCTTCTTTTGAGGGGGGATGTAAATTTAATTTTAACATTGTCAAGAAAATATTGCAAGATGTCAAGGCACTGAATCTAGGATAGTGGAGTTTTGTGTTATTTGTTTTTCCTCACTCTGTCCCATATAGCTGATCCTTGTGTTCAAGTCCCAGGGGGGTCAGGAAACCTGGATTTTAGTTCAGCTTTGGTTCAGACTTGCTGTGGACCTCTGAATAAGTCACTTCACCTCACTGAGTTTTAGTTTAACCTCGTGTAAAAGGAGATAGAGAAGATACACTCTAAAGATCCTCAAGATTCTAAAATTCTATTAATTCCACACATTCAGACTCCTTCAGGACAGAAGATACATTCATCTTATTTATTCCTCTAGTCTCTGCACCTAGCACAGTGCCTAGAACGCAGAGGTTAAATAATACATGTGGCATGAATGAATGAACAAATGAATGAAATACAGATTACATGTCTACAAAGAACAATGCTTTTCACTCAAAGCACTTATTATTAAACATGGTGAGTTTTTATAAAACATTTTTCAAGGGACCAAAGCACTTCTGCAGACTTCTTTCATTCATCCCCATACTATTTTACCGAAACAGTAAAATCAATACTTCAGGTCAAAGCTAAGTATAATTAGTAAGATCTGAAAATATTCTAACAATATATTAATGATGATTATAGTAACAGGAGCTATCTTTACGGAGTATTCCTCTATAGCAGACACTTAACAAGCTGCATTATATACATTTTCCCACTTGATCCTCAAAACAACCTTGTGAGGTAATTGATATTGTTTCCATTTCATAGGCAATGAAATTGAAATACAGAGGTTAACTCCAAACCACAATGCTGGTAAGGGGGAGCATAGGTGAGATTCAAATCCAGGTATTTTTGACTCCAAAAGCTTGATTCTTAACCACTATACCACTGTCCCCTTCTCTCTGACATAGCTACCTAGCACATGGTATATGCTAAAAGTTAGTTGGCATATTCTGTAGAGAGCCTACTCAGTAGGTACCATCCTTGATACATGAAGTATATTTTTAGCCGTGTTCATAAAGTGCAGAAAATCATTTCCAAATAAGCAATCCCAAATAATTTCCGATTTAGTGAGTATTCCAATTTAAACCCTCAGGAGCCGCAGAAAATTTTAGCAGAAATAGTAATAAATAACTACCATGTATGGGGCAATCACTAAGAGCCAGATACTGTGCTAGGCGCTTCATCTCACTTTGGTGTAATCCTTCCATCAGTGATGTAGAATAGGCATTCCTTATTTCCGTTTTACTGATGAGGAAACTGAGGCACAGCAGGGTTAAGCAGCCCTGCCCAAAGTTAAACAGTGAGTGGGGAAGCTAGGAACTCCCTCCTTTTCCTCCACACTTTAACTTCTTCAGGGGAAAAAAAACCAACAAATCCTTTGTCAAGAATTCCTTAAGGTGTGCCTGGGTGGCTCAGCGAGTGAAGTGTCTGACTCTTGATTTCAGCCCAGGTCATGATCTCATGGTTCTTGAGATGCAGCCCCGAGTCAGGCTCCACGCTGACAGCATAGAGCCTGCTTGGGATTCTGTCTCTCCCTTTCTTTCTGCCCCTCCCCGCCCCCTCAAAATAAACAAATAAATAAATAAATAAAAAGAATTACTTAATTCACTAACAACTATTTTTACAGGAGGAACAAATCATTTAATAATTCAACGGCCAGTTCTTTTTGCCTTTAAGCATTTCCCCCCTATATTTATATCATATTTGGATGAATATTGGTCGGTTTGCATTCTCTTATAGCCTGGCGTCACGGCAAAGGGAAAGTTTGCCACAGAAACTTCCAAGTCACACAACAGTGAATTTATGGCAAGAAAACAACCTGATACCCTAACAAAGAGAAAAGGAAGTAAAACACAACTTCTAAGGGCTAGTCTGGACTCAATAATTCTTCAGTCTTGATCTATTATGCATGATGACAGATGAGTTTTAGAATGAAGGGAATGTGAGGCATAGGAAGACCTACTGCCAATGCATAATTCATTACATTCACTTACCAAGGCAGGACAGTAACCATAACAAGATTTCTCAATAACAATGATTGAAATAAAAAAGCAAAACTTTATGGCTAATCCCAACTTAAATATAAAATTAAATCATATAGAAACATTTTCTTACAACATGTTTCTCCAGATACTGCAGTTAATTAAAGTTTTATTGTCCTGAAAACCATAAATCTGAATCAAGATAAAGAAGTGTGTTTTTCAAAGAAAAGGATCCCTAAAATTAACTTGAGATAAAATACAATCCAGTTATATCTCAGGAGTTTTTGAGCAAAGACCGGGGAGCCCAAAGTTTGACCCCATCAAGTTGCTGATTTTCTGGGCTGACTTTACTGAGTTAACACTGGCATGTATGTTTTGAATCTATAATAACCAAGCTGACATATGGGCTTAGGGCTCTTGATTGTCTCTAAGGTGTGCCGTGATAATATCCACCAATTTTCTAGGATTCTCTACCAGAAAATATAAATTTTTATATTTGTAATAGGTATTAAACCAAATTTGTCAAATGCCATCTCAAAAATAATCACTTTGTCTTTTGCCATCTTGGCTCGACTCTTCCTGTGACATTCCCAAACATGCCAAACCCACAACCCCCAAGATGCCCAATGTTTCTCATGTTCCTTCCAATTCTTACCTGGATGATAATTTCTGCTGGGCTCTCTTCAGCTTTCTTTTGGCCTACATTCTGAATACGCATGAACTGGCCTGTTGTCGGCACTCCCGGTGCATCGATTTTCCTTGTCGTTAAGGGAGGGCCAACAGCAGATGGACTTGAACAGGACTCTCTACATTTCTGTTGCTGGGGAGTGGAATTCGCCATCCCTGCCACCACCACGTGGGTGGAGGGCAATGATCCTGCTTCACCAGTGAGCATACTAGTGGCAAGAGCCTTCTTTGGGGGATCCACTACCACATGCTCTACATTTGTATCAATCTGAGCTTCCATCAAAGACATTTTCAAAATGTCTGACACAGCTGTCTTCTCAGAAGCCTGAATGGGAGATACGCTTGTAACTGGTGATGTCAGCTTAGGCACAGAACTGCCACCAGTTATCTTTGTAACTGTGGGAGGCTGGCGCCCCTCAAAAGTTATCTTTGTAACAGAGGATCCTTGGGTTATAATTGGCTGCTCCACCTGAAAACAAATTGGGGTTGTGTGTGTTACAGCTACATCTCTTTGAGAAAACCTATCAAACACCCCAGATAATATGGCAAAAGAAACATTCGTGCGGTATACTAGGAGGACGTTTTGAAGCTTGGTGTTTTAATACAAGGGCTGGATGGGAAAGTATCTGGTTACTTTTAAGAAACCTAGGGAAAGAGAAGGGGTTGAAAGAACCTCTGTCAAGCCAGCCAAGGTTCATAACATAAAGGAAAAAAAAGTCGCAGCAGCCTTGCTTCCCTTTGGGATTTATATCCCCATACAGTATACCTTCAACCCATTCTCAAATTATTTGTATCATCTTCAGCTTTTAAAAATAAAAAGCAGGGTTTTTCAATTTTTTTTGCTTCAAATACATCTTACAAATATATTCTCTATATATGTATTTATAATATATACACACATATATACATTACTCTAAAGCCACTGGTTTTCCCTAATATAATTTTTCTTTCGAATATCCAGATAATTCCTCTGCAATCTAGAAGATAAATCTAGAAGATAAATTTATTAACTAGAGAGTGATGATGTAAACTGCAAAGGAAGATGTTCAATGAAGCTCCTTAAAAGACTGCGTTGTTTACTTAGCATTACTACCACAGATAAGAGTTTACAAGCATAGGAAAAAAAATTTTGTACCTAAAAAATAACAAATAATTTAGGGATCTCGCTTCTACGTGCTGCTGATCAATGCTGAAGTGATTTCATTTAAAAACTGCCTAGAAAATCAAGTTCTGAGTGCTACACTTTATTTGTCCTTCCTATATTAATGCGTGCATTTCTTCCCTAATGTCAACCTTCTGATGGGGTAAAGTAATACCAGCATAAATGAGGCTTTTGAGTTTCCTCTTGCCAGGAGAAAGCACTGCTAATCACGATAGGATCGTAATAATGTTCTCATTTTTTCCATCAACAGAGAAGCTTAACTTTGCATGCTACCAATATTCCGTTACCTGGCTTGCCGGCTGTTTCTCTGATGAGGCTGGGAGCGGCATTTGGCTCTGGGGGGTTTGGGGTTGCACGTAGATTTTTGGTTGGTTCGGAGCCTGCTGCAGTTTAGGGAGCTGCTGCGTGGTTTTCACTGCAAGCACCTGTACTACAGTTTGCGGGGGCTGTGCCATTAAGGTAGGAAGCTGCCTGTCTTTGGCCACCATGGGATGCTGTGTGTGCTGTACATCTGGCTTGGGCTGTGCTTGTTCTTGCTGGAGAGGGGTGAGTTTCTGATGCCTGATGGAAAGCTGGGGCATTTGCGGGAGTTTGTGCTGGAGCTGGTCTGCCTGCAGGTGGATGGTCTGCTTCTGTTTAGTCTGGAAGCACTGCAGAGTTTTCACTTGCAGCTGAGTCTGTTCCAGCTGGGGCTGGCTAAGTTTCTGCTGCTTAGCTGACTGTGACTGAGTCAGGGCAGATCGGTAAAACAGACCTGTCTGAGGGTCTAAAGTGTCCATCTCTTCAACCTCGCCCTCCTCAGTTCCAAGTTCCTCGCTGTGTTTGGTAAAAGCAGTGTGACTGCTTAATGCCTGAGTAAAAAAGGCACAAAGTAAGAATAAAGTAAAGGCACCTACATTGCTACATTTTCCTCAAACTGGAAAAGACTTGGTTATGAGATTCATTCAAAAATTTTCAGAAGAAAGAGCTTAAAAAGACCATGAAACCTCAAGTTTTCTAAATCTAAAGGGGGCTTTAAATTGAGACTCTTGTAATTTCAACTCTTAGAAATTAAGTACTGCAACAACTGGTCTACTCTTTTCTAGAAGAAAAGTGGACCCAGAATTTATAGGCAAGAGGAATAAGGTTATCCTGCAAGCACAGCCCAACACAGAAAAAGAACAGGCTCCCTGACTCAGGACACAGCTGTCTAGCCTGGTCATCAGCGATACTGAGCCACCCAAAGAAAGAACACAGCCACCCAGGTATGAGGTGTCCAGAGAAAAGTCAAAGTTCAGAGAAGCCCACTTTGGCCATGCTGTCCAGTAAGTCAGAGTCGCTGTCTGAGGGACATGCCCGTCCAGGTCCCCACAGAGGGCTTCTCCGGTCAGGGTGAAAACGGTTCATCAGGCTTCACCAAACCCGTGTGAACCACCCTCTGTACTAGTCCTCCTCGCCCCTTTGGTCATATTCCGGGCCCAGCAGGCAACAGTTTCCCAGAGGCTCAGCTGCCAGGAGGGAAGGAGACTGGGGAGGGACAAGAGCACTCCTGTCAGCGGCAAAGGAGACTCTCCCATGTCAGTTTTAACAGCGAGGGGAGGAGGTATTGATCTTGAGCGACGTGGTGAGGGCCAGTCTGTTTGACCTCTCTGGGTGCCTTGAAAAAGGTCAATGTCAGGACTGGCCAGGTGAGGGCTAGACTCCAGGCTGAGATCTGGTACCCACTTAAACCTCTGGCCACCTGGCTTCCCTCAGTGACACAAAATCCACCCCAACCTCATCCTTCCCACTTCCTTGTCACGTTATTCCTTCATTCTAAACTTTAAAACTTTTTGAGGTTCCACTGAAACCCTCCCTGATCTCAGAACGACCTTGCACATACAGGTTTTTAATTCAACAATTTCTTTATTGCCTTTCAGGTTAATTTGCTTACAATTAGGATCAACTGCTACCAGTCAAACTGATGGTGATTTATGTGACAACTAATGATACGTCACGCTTAAATCTGGTATCTATGATAATCACTTTGTATAGAGGCAGGATGCTTTGGGTTTAAATCCTAGCTCTGCCACCCAGAATAAGTTACTTATTTTTACTTAACTTCTATGAACAGAGTTTCCTCATTTGTAAGAGGGATAATATATCCACCTTACAGGATCACAGTGAGATTTAAACAAATAAATGTGTTTAAAGCTCAAAGCACAGTAGCTGACATAAAATTAGCTTATCCCCATTACCCTTGGTACCAGACTTTCTGTTTTATATTAACTCTTTCTCCTTCCCATTGGGTCTCTTCCTCCTATTTAATTGGTCACATATAATAAAAGTCAGATATTTATACCTACTTATTTGTAATGTTTCTCCATGAGAATTCATCATAAAAGCAAAAACCCAAGCAACACACAGCTAAAGAAGCCAACTTCTATTTCATTTACAAAAATCTCACCTACGTGATAAATTCTTCTGTAACAATAAATATACAGAAACAGTGGCCACTTTTGAAGTCACAGATTCATCTAGAAAGTGCCACCCTTTTGAAATGTTCCAAGTTTGCAGAAGATCCAAGAATACTGATTCTTAATTACTTTCCAGTGTTGAGACTCTCAATTTTTTCCCTCTCCTCAGTCCTCACAGATGAAAGAACGACACAAATACTCTTCTTCAATTCAGTTATTTCCTTTCTTACAATAGATGAAACTAAACCTTATTTCAAAAAGGAGCAGTTATAGAAGGTAGGGAGAGAAAGAAGAGATACAACCTGCTGCATAATGTGGGTGATCGCTCCAGGGGAAGATGCCGGGATGGACTTCACCACCACTGAAGTCTGTGTTGCGGTCTGTGACTGAGCCACATGCTGGAGCAGGGTCCGCTGGGGCTGGGAGGGCTGTTGGGGCTGGGAGCGATGGCTGACTGAAAATAGAGGAGGTGATGATATTTCTCCAGAAATCACCACAGCATCTGTAACCAGTAGTCATTTTAAACAAATGTCTGTGAGATTGCGTCACAGAGAGAAAGTGTGGTACTGTGAACTAGGAGGCAGAAGACCAGAGTCTGCCCATCTATGAGCTGTGTGACTCTGAGAAAGTCACTTATCTTCTCTGAGACTCTGTGTTCTCATCTGTAAAATGGGAATAACAGAGCTATTATAAGGATGAGATGAGAAATGTGGAAGCACTTTGAAAACTGTCATCACAAAGGAGGAACAAACCCCTTAAAGTTACATCCTCCTGTGAGCCGCACTTACTTCCTCCAAGAACCTTCACCCCATTAAGGTAACAAAAACAATAATGAATTTCTGGAATCAAATCCCAGACTAGTATCTTTAAGGATACTAAGATAATACTTAAGTTACTAAGATGGTATTTTAATTTCTTGGTCCCAGTTCCAAATGCAATACAAAACCCAGAAACATTCGTTCTTTTACATGAAGTAGACACTGTCTTGCAGCCTTACAGTTCCTAAAGATATGAGAGGTCAAAATGATACTGCAGAAAGAACCGGACCAAGAGTCACACCTGGATTCTGTCCCACTCTGCCACCAACCAGCTATGCGAACTTGAAGAGGTCACTCAAATTCTATGAACCTCTAAAAAAACAAAACAAAATTCCATTAACCTCTAAAACTCAGAGGTTTTGCTTTTGTTTGTTTAATGGGACAATAAATTTTTTCTACCTAGAGGAGGATCAAATGAAGTAACAAGCTGAAAATGTTAAGTATCAAAATATAAATTTAATTAAATTATTAAGTATTAAATTGTTAACTATCACAATATAAAGTTAACAAAAGAACAGAAAAATCGCTCTTCTTTCATCTTCTCCAATTTAGCTCATCTGACATAAACGGGTGAGAATTCAGTAAGGAGAACAACCCCATTTCTTATTCTCTTACAAAGGTACAAAGGTCCTTCTCTGGTACATAGGGCAAGAGGGGCAAACTATACACTTATGTTTATATTGATAGACAGATGTAAAATGATACATCGACATTGGTGCCAATCTATCATCTTTTACCAGCCTCAACTTCAACTTTTTAAACAGTAAAACATTCACCACCTCTTAGTCTACAGAGCTTTAGAAATGCTTATGGTTAAGGGGAAACAAACTTTCTGAAACAAGAACAGAGTACAATAAATCTGTAAAATTAGCTAAGGTTTTTGAGAATATAAAAATCCTCTCAATGACCCATGATTCCAGTGCTCATATATCTTGATCTGCAATTTCAAGTAGCTCCATATTCAAGTGGTTCCAGGTTTAGAAAAATCGTAGTGGAATGTCCAAGGGTAAGATGATCACTACAGAAATCAATGTCAAAGTGCTACTTAGGTATTATGAGTACAGAACTAAAACTACCCAGTGAAATATAAATAAGCTTTATTTATTTTTTAACTCATTCTATCTATATTCTCAAACACAGTTTTTCTACTGTTGCTTATACACACGCCTACATGTGATATAAGAGATTCCAGGCAGCATCACTGGTAAAAATGTAATGCAGTATCTTACTGCGTTTCACAGTATGCTTTATATGTACATTTTAAATTATATGAGTTAACCAAATCTTCCGTATGTGCTCAACCAAACGGAAAAAAAGGGCGTCAGTGTTGACATTAAAACAACCACTGCTGAAATCATTTATAATGTGACTGAGTAGGAGAAAAACAAATCACATAATATTAAAATTGAACAAGCAAATTCATAAAGTTTTTTACTGATGGAAGCATCATCAGAAATGAATGACACTTGAAAGAATAATAAATAAAGATAATTTCTCATGAAATTATCAGATTATATGGAACATTTCTGCTGTCCATACTCATCTTCATAATTATGACATTAGAATCTTACTAAGAAATGAAATGGATTTAACAGACGATCAACTAAAATCATTTAAAAATAATCCTCACTCAAGATACTACAAATCTCTTCACAGTAATTCCCCAGCATGCAGAAACGTCAGAGAAGACTAATACCCACTCCCGGATAATACAAGAGGTCAGGGCTAGGGAGCTGGGTTCGAAGTCAAAGAAAATGCTTAATGTGGCTGAGGATATGACGGGGAGAAGATCATGGAAGGAGGTCACAGAGTGAACATTCAGAAAACAGCTGAATTGACCTTAACTGGGCCATAAAAACAGGATAAAACAGTCATTTATTTCTGTAAACAACTTTTATTTTTTCCAATGTCCAACTGCTCACTTCTGAGAAAGGATCCCACTCTCCTGAAAAAGGAAAGTCTCCTTTTCACTGAGCGGAGCTTACCTTTCCTCTACCAGATCAGAGTAGAGCGCATCCATTTAACTGGTTCCCCCCAAAACAACAATATTTTACCTTCAGTTATGCTACAAATGGATGCACACCACTTACCTAGAAGGGGAAAAGCAACCTCTGTCCCCTCATCAGTGCGTTCTGAAAAGGATAAGTAAGGGAAGAAATCATAGGTCTTTTCTTCTATTTACCATCTGATAATCTAGTCTATCCCCAGAAGTTAATACTGATTTCCCCAACATACTGCCCTCTGCTTTATTTAGCTTTTTGCTAAATATCTCTGAAGAAAGATGCTAGATGGCTTTCCATAGTCTTTAACTGGATTTTCCCTTTTGGCAATTTTAACCCGTTAGTCTTAAAAATATCTCCAAAAATGATACCATACAGTCACTCTTCTGCTTTGGTATTTACATCCTTTAAGTATCTGTAACTTTATGTTCTCTTTTAATTACTGCTTAAGAAAACTCAAGACAGGCATTCTTTATATATTGCCTTGTAAGTCATTTGTCCTAACCCCTAATTATTCGCATTACTATTCTCTGAACTATTTCAAATCTCAAGGTAACGAAGTGTCCAAAACAGAAGGCAGTATTCCAGGTGTGGTCTCGCCAGAACACGAGAGAAAGAATCTATAATCCTTCCTGTTCCACTTTTCTATATGCCATCCAAAACTCTCATTAGTGTTTTGCTGCCAGACCACATTTGAAACAAATGCCTAATTTGCCTTCCACCAGAACTCCTAAGTATTTACAGGGACTTAAAGTTTCCCACATTTTTTTTCTTTACATCAAAAAAGGTATTGGATTTTATACCTCCTTTCTCCCTTGACCCATCTCCCCTCCCCTCTCCCCTCCACCAAAACTAAAAAATTTAGATGCATCAAAATATTTATTCTTCTGTAAAAGGTATTTTATCCTCTCTCTACAACTGTCACCCTATATTCACAGACGTTATTTATGGCCAACTTGCAATTTTTTATTAGCTGCCAGTTTGTAACAACTGATTGGTTTTCTTCCCTAGTCATTAAAGACAGGGTTAAGTCCCAAGGACAATGAAAATTTGCTTTCAGAGCAAACTGGAAAAAGATCTAGAAATATAAAAGCTATATTCTCCCCCAAACAACCATCCCATCAAATCCAGAAAGGTAGCTCTCCTACCTTAATACTACTTTTTAAGAGGACACCTACCAGTAGTGATGTATTCAGCAACTAGTTCTGACTCTACCACAGCAATGGATGGACTCTCAGGAGAATGTCTCTTTTCCTGGGTCATCTGAATAGGCACTGCCATCTGACTCAAGTCAATAGTGGGTTGTCTTGGTTTAGATTCCAATTTTTCCTTTACTGCATAGAAAAGGCAGGGGAAAAGTTAACTTTTGTTACAAACAAGTATCAAAACCAGAGCTGTCCATGGGAATAACGAGCCAGACCTCTGGGGTGCCACGACTGGCAGTGATAAGGAGACAGTGAATTGAAATGAAAAAAGCAGACTGCTCTATATGGTTGTATGGGCACAACTTATGCAACCATAACCAGCAGCCTAGCAAGAAGGACATATGCAATCAGACTAAAATTCCCCATTATGACTAGGCTAAAAAATCGGTTTCCCTTGTACACACTCCTTTTAGAACATTTCCTTTACCCTTCTCTTCAAGGTAGTTCCCGGTATTCTGGAGTTTACCAACCTGAAAACAAAGGGTGAATAGGCAGTATACAGCATGATTTGCTCTAGATCATACCTACCCAGAACAGACAATACAATGACTAGTTTAATTTGATCTATTAAAAATTTAAGATAGGGGCGCCTGGGTGGCGCAGTCGGTTAAGCGTCCGACTTCAGCCAGGTCACGATCTCGCGGTCCTTGAGTTCGAGCCCCGCGTCAGGCTCTGGGCTGATGGCTCAGAGCCTGAAGCCTGTTTCTGATTCTGTGTCTCCCTCTCTCTCTGCCCCTCCCCATTCATGCTCTGTCTCTCGCTGTCCCCAAAATAAATAAACGTTGAAAAAAAAATTAAAAAAAAAAAAATTTAAGATAATCCCCAAAGAAATGTTACCAAGTATTCAATGGCTCTTAAAGAACAAAAATCTTCAGTGTTAGGAAAAAATGACCTCTCTGTTCCTACAAAAATGTTTTATGGAGTGGTCTGGGATCAAGAATGGGTTCCGTGGATAAATTTACTTTCTATCTTGTCATTTTTTCTATAAAATCTACTTACTCGGTTTTCACCCTCTGTGAGACATTAATGGAAATGGCTGAGTATGTCAAAAACAAGAAACTAAGGAAATGCCTAAGGCCAAAAGTTAACACCAATCGAAAGATTAACCAAAGATACTAAGTGCTCATATTCTTTGGCTAGTGTAAGGTGGATGTTACAACAAATAGTTAGTTACCAGTAATTAAGTCCACTGAGTGATCATTCAGATTATTCCCACGAAGCATATAAAGTGACAAAATCAAGATAATCATTTAAACAAAGAAAGCAAAACCAAACCAAAATAATACCACAGTCACCCCACAAGTAGAGAGGACACTGAATTAGGAATCAAAAGACATGGAGTCTCACTCTGCCACTAACCAACTGGGTAACTTCTCTGGATCTCAGTTTACTTATGCATAAAATGAAAGGCTTGGATGAGATCGTGGCTAAGGTCCCTTAAATACTCTAACAATCTTTGACTTATTGTAATAGAAAAGTCAGTAATAACTAACATGGGTTTTGCCTAGTTTATTGAAGATATTTAGTAACTAGAAATACTAGTGGGATCTTGTTAAATGAGGGCAGCTTTGCATGGAAGCTCAAGTGGTTAAATAATACAATGAAAATATAAAGATAAGACCAATTAGAATGCTCGCAAGGGCCATTAATGGTGTTTTATGACCACAAAATTGCCCCACCAATATCAAGGAGGATGGCAGGGGCCCTTCAATCTGCCTCCTACTCTTCTCAAATGGAACTGACATCCATGCTACATCGATCCTTGTGCTTAGAAATGATAGAAACTACTCCCTTCTGGTCAAAGAGGCAACAGGATTGCCCATTTCAAGCAGGAGACAGAAAAGAAAGGGCTCTGCCATTTTTTTTTCCTCCCTAACTAGTCTATCCTTTAGTACTCCTGTGCACATCTTATTGAACTGACAAGTAAACAGACTGCAGCAATGATTATAGACCAGTCCAGAGGGGGGAAATGTGCTCAAATAATAACAAAGAAAATATAACAGTGGTAGTATTTTAGCACAACCCATCTCTAGAGAAAACATGCTTCATTCAATTGAGCATGTGAATTCATACCTGTTGTCTGTTGGAGTTCTAATAGAGCTTTGATTGTTGAAGTAGCTGATTGTGATTCACTGGATACATCCTGATAAATTATGGTGGGGCTAGTCTCCATTGCAATCTCATGTTCTGACCAATCCTGACGCCGGGAAGCAATTACATGAACTACAGGCTGGGAATCTGTTTTATATTAGTTAAAAAAAAAAAACCCTATAAACAAAGTTTCTCTTAAAAAAAACAATTTGTTTTTTTTTTTTTAATCTTTGTATTTATTGTAAACTTCATGCTTTATCTCCCCAAGAAGACTGTAAGCCCCCACAGGGCATATCTTTCATGTCTGTATTCACTTACTCATTCATTCATTCACTGATTCAACAAACTGGGCACCTATATGCAGGAGTCTATATTTGGCATTGAGGATATAAAGGAGCTTACAGAGTAATCAGAGGATGCTCAAGAAGCACACAATCTGGTTGGGGAGACAGACATGTAAAAAGACAAATTACAATTCAATGTGATAATTGCTATAATAAATAGGTGTGCATTTGTCTAAGTAGATGTATGTTTGTGTATAGTAAGAACAAAATGCTGTAGGAGTCTTTATTTTCCCCAATGCATCTGAAAATGTGTTTTGTATTACAACCTGAGCATCCAGTCAACATTACTTATTTTTGGATGGCTGAACTACTGAAAAGAAATCCTGTCCGCCAATAACAAGAATGGATAGATGATCTAGAAGCAGGATGATATAATAGCACACGTATAACATCAGAGTTCAAAGTCTTAGGTTACAGCCCCAGCTATATCAATTATTTGCAAGTTGAGTCCTTGGGTTTTAGTGTCATTATTCCTAAGTTGGCAATGATAAAATTACCTATCTACCTCACAGGACTTCTGAGGATATAATGAAATAATATATGTAAAAGAGCTTCATAAACTATGAAGGACAACAGAAATGTTATTGTTGTTGTGTCCTAAAAGTTCTCGATTCTGAGATGTTGTGTTAGTTTCAAAATAAATTAAGGCCCTAATTCAAGGCTTATTATATTTATGCTAAAGGTAGGCAAGTAAATACTAAATGTGCATCAAACGAAGCAACAAATTATTGAGTTTTCCATCTGCAGAATAATCAGGTTGGACTAGACTATTATTAAGCTCCTAAACTCCTTTGTCCAGGATACCATACAGGACAAAAATTATGGAGGATATAGAGGCACAATCCCCACCGCCAAGTTTAGATTACAATGGAGGAGACCTAAAACAAACATACATATAGCTTTGTATTCTTGGGAAAAATCAAATGACTAGGGCAAACAACACAAATATATAGAAAGAAAAAGACTGCTTTGAATTGGATTAGTCAGTGAAAGCATCACAGAAGAATGAAAAAAATTCATATAAACGAGAATAAATTCAACAGAAGTTCAACCTTCTTTGAACCTTATATTTTTGAAAACCACAAAGTTGTCCAAACAGATTGGGGAAGGCAAAATGACTCTTAAAAAGAAAAAAGCCTTTCCAAAGAAAATAAATCAATATACAATAGCACTGGAATTTTTAATTACCATTAACAAACTGTATTCTCTGCCCCTCAAACACTGAGTAGAATATATGCCACATCAGGGAGGTATACCCTCCCCCCAAATTCTAGAAGACTGAAGGACACTATCCTACAATGCCAAATGTCATGTGATGCACATAACAATTTTTCTTTACTCATTCTAAGTAGACAATAGAACTTACACCTAAAAGAACTAATTTTATTAGGGAATCATTCTTTTTATAAAACCTACGTTCTCAAATTTAAGAAATTCTCATGGCGGGGCACCTGGGTGGCGCAGTCGGTTAAGCGTCCGACTTCAGCCAGGTCACGATCTCGCGGTCCGTGAGTTCGAGCCCCGCGTCAGGCTCTGGGCTGATGGCTCAGAGCCTGGAGCCTGTTTCCGATTCTGTGTCTCCCTCTCTCTCTGCCCCTCCCCCGTTCATGCTCTGTCTCTCTGTCCCAAAAATAAATAAACGTTGAAAAAAAAAATTAAAAAAAAAGAAATTCTCATGGCAATGTAAGTATTCCTTGGCTAGGTGAGAGAACCTACAGGCACGGAATGACTGCAACCCAATACTGTAACATTCACTGAAAATCCAAAAGAAAGCAAGGATTGCATCTGTAGAGAGATAAGGTAGAAATAGACTGAGAAAGGAAAACAAATTTCCACATGGGAGCACCTGTCAGAGACATCAGCGCACATAACATTATCCTGTGGGGAGGGACTGGGGAGATGGTTCACTCTTTCTGCCCACACCCAGAGAATAGCCAACCATCACACAGTATAACTGCGGCAACTTCAACAGCTGAGACAAAGAATGAGTGTGTGAACCTAGATGTGAAAACCATTCCTTGAGTGATTTTCCTCTCTACTCTTGGCTTCTTCTTAGACTAGATAAATCTACTGCCTATTGAGTCTGATGCTGAGGTCAGGGTGCAAAAACCGAGACACCAAGAGCCTGATCTCACAGTACCATTTGATTATGAGGATGGTGGCCCGCTAACCCTCACATGTCTTTCCCCATGGGTCATTTAACAAATATTTCCTGGACATCTACTACCTGTTAGGTACCAGAAATACACACTGTACTGTTATATGCAGAGGCAGATCAGGCATCTCTGTGGAAGAAAGCCTCCTGTGACTTTACCATAAAAGGCCTATAACACACTTTCATAGACTAGTAAGACCTCTCAGCTAGCAGGGATCTAACAGTTCACTTAATGCTATCACCAATCCTATACTAAAATCTTCACATATCCCCCACCAATCAAGAAATTACCACACCAGGGGCACCTGGGTGGCTCAGTCTGTTGAGCGTCCAACTTCAGCTCAGGTCATGATCTCGCACTCTGTGAGTTCGAGCCCCGCATTGGGCTCTGTGCTGACAGCTCAGAGCCTGGAGCCTGCTTCAGATTCTGTGTCTCCCTCTCTTTCTGCCCCTTCCCTGCTCATGCTCTGTCTCTCTCTCTCTGTCTCAAAAATAAATAAAAACATTAAAAAAAAAGAAACCCACACCAGAGAACTCACTACTTTCTAATATAGTTTCCTTCCATTTCTGCAGTTATGACAATGAGAAAATTTTCTTATGTGAAATGGAAAACAGGTCTTCCTGTCTACCCAGTGGTTCTAGTTTCCATCCACGTATCCACAAAGATCAATTCTTTTCCCTCTTCCACGTCACAGTTCTCAGGAAAACTGACAACCCCCATGTCCCCAACCCAATCCTCATCTTCTCTTCTCCATGAGAAATGTCCTGTTTCCACTGACCATTCCTCATATAAAATGATTCCCAGATGCCTTACGCATCTAAATCATCCCTTCTAAACTAAACCTAAGATGTCTATGTCCCTTCTATGATATAATATATACCTTCCCTCTGAAGTACTGTCCTAAAACCCAAGGCCTTCACAGTACGTAACTGCCTAGACAGCATCACTCAAAATGTTTCAGAGAACATTAGTTCCTCAAGATGTTCTGCAAAAGGTTCTATGGTCAAAAAAGTTGGGGAGTGTTTTACATTATATACACCACTCTTCATTTTTCACAATATATATTAGCACACGGCTCTGAAAAGTTCTGTAGTAAGTATGTTTTGCCTAACCTGGATTTATTCCCCCCCCTCACCGTAATCTACTGAGATCATAAAGCTTCTGGAAAAATCACCCTAGAAACAAATTTGTGACCTCCTTAAAGTGATGTCTTATGTATTTTTTAAAGTGATGTCTTTTACATAGGATACAGGATGCATTTCTGTATTTACCTCATACCTTAAATCCATCTTAAATCCCTACTCTTGGTTTTCTCTCCTTGTTCTCTTTCATTTTACTTCATATAATCTTGTATTCTACCCAATCCACCTTAAAACCTTCTGGAAATAAACAAAATATAAATAATCTTTAAATTTTTCTTTCTTTTTTTAAAATCTGGGGGGCACGATCTTGGGGTCATGAGTTCAAGCCCCACGTCAGGTGTAGAGATTACTTTAAAACAAAATCTTGGGGCACCTTGGGGCGCCTGGGTGGCTCAGTCGGTTGAGCCTCCGACTTCAGCTCAGGTCATGATCTCACGGTTCGTGAGTTCAAGCCCCACAGGAGGCTCCCTAGTGTCAGTGCAGAGCCCATTTTGCATCCTCTGTCCTCTTTCTGACCCTCCCCTGCTTGCGTGATCTCTCTCTCAAAAATAAACATTAAAAAAAAAATCTTAAAAAAAAAAAACATCACAGGAGTTCTTTTTAACTCTTCTTACAACATTTTTGTAAGTCTGCAATTACATTAAAAGAAAAAGTTACCAAAGCAGGGGAGGGGCAAAAACTACAAAAGCAATAGAAAGGAAAAATGAACTGCTATGTAGTGCTTACATTTCCATTAGGTTTCATCCTCGTATAGTTTGAAAACCAGCATGATCTTAGACTGACCAAAATCTTTATCCCTTTCTTTCACTTTAAATCATAGCATATAGGGGCGCCTGGGTGGCGCAGTCGGTTGCTGTTTCACTTCAGCCAGGTCACGATCTCATGGCCAGGAGTTGAGCCTCCCCACAAGGCCAGGGTTTCCTGGGCTGATGGCTCCCGGAGCCTGATCTGCTTCCGATTCTGTAATCTCCCTCTCTCTGCCCCTCCTCCCTGCTCATGCTCTGTCTCTCTCTGTCCCAAAAAATAAATAAATAAACGTTAAAAAAAAAAAAAATCATAGCATATATATTCCCAGCTCCTGGTCTTTGTGAGAATGCACTAAAGACAGTAGCAGGGGGGTGGGGAGGGGGAGGAATGTAGATTATAATAACTGGCTTTATAGTCAACTATATTAGATATACCTATTCTGAACTGAAATTTTTCCATATTACAGAATATTTTTAAAAGAAAAAATATGTGATGATACACAACAAATAAAAATACATGAAACCATGTATAATAACAGACTGAACAGCAGAAAACCTTAGACGGAATTACTTCCAAAAATAGCCAAACTTTTGTCCCATTCTTAGAATGAAAACTGAAGACTGCCTAATGAAATGGCATGTTTGGGAAGTAATGATTGGCTCATAGCTCCCTCAGATAAAGACTAGCAAACTCAAAGGAGAACCCTAGATTACGGATATAAAAACATCTACTGTTCATGTTCCCCTCTTAGCACCAACTCATGAGCTAAATATTTTACCTGCTCTCTATAAAAATATTTCTCAAGGGAAAAAATGGCTAGTATTATTCAAGGAACCAGAGGCTTAAAAATAAAAGAGGGAAATGCAGCTGATATGTTGAAATAAGAATGGAATCTGTAAATATCAAATCATTAAGAAATATAGAATGAAATAGATAATATGCATCACTCCTTGGGGACTAGTACAGAGACTAATTTATAATCAGTATAGAATGATAAACTAAATCTCAGTAAATTGATTCAGAAAATATTACTATCATTGATAATATGCTGAAGAAAACTATCTACTTTGTAAAATGAGTACCATATAGTTTGTTAAAATCAACGCTTTTATTTATTTTTAATTGATGAGTTTTCAAAGACCATTTCAAATGCTATCTCTTTTGTGAAGCTTTCTTATCCTTTTCTCACTGGAATGTGAATTTTCAGCCTTCGGCATTTTTGTTTGTTACTAATAAACTTATTAAACTACTACTGAAGTTATACACGTGTATTTTTTAATCCCCTACTCTAGATTTTAACAAGAACTATATTTTACTCAATGTTTACAGGGCCTAGCACAATGCTTAGTATGTAGTATAAACTAATAAGTAACTGTCAAATTGAATTAATGGATTAATGGAATAATCAGCAATATGAACCATGTGAGCAATCTGAATTTCCCACTAATCTGGGAAGACTCCTTTAAAGAATTAAAATAATAAAAGTGCATAATATGAAGAATCTGCAGTAGAAAAATGAAGATACCTAGAAAGCACTCCTGAGAGAATAATGGGGAGGTGAGGAGAGGGAATGGAGTGAGAGAGTGATGACCAGGGGAAGATAAACAGCTTTGCCCTTTAGATGCATCCGAGCATACAAGCAAGCATAGGCATAAATACACCCACCACCTGACAATAAGGGCAGTTAAGGTAACTGATAGACATGAGTATGAGATTTGCAGGTCTCAAAGCTTATGATTAAAAATTTATTTCAAGAGACTTCCTAGATGAACAACATAATTAAGATAGCACTGAGGATAAAGAGCTTCCCTACTCTGGAGTCTGGTTTCATAGCTCCTTTCTTATAATTAGGACAACCATACAGTATCATCTAAATTAGGAAACCTGTGAGAGCGGAAAGGCATGCTATTAATAATTAGGCTAGAACAGATATAAACTAGGACTTGTGCTATGCAAACTGCAATGTATGGTCACTCTATTTATAGCCCACTCATGGCCCACCTCTGGCCACTCTGATTCTTTCTCAAGGTTCAATAATAACCATTCAAAAGATACATTTACTTTCCTGCATACTTCTTTTTACCCAGAAGGAAACAAAAAGAATCACAGCACTAGCCAGTTTGATAATACCTACCTGTCAACATCATCATCTAAAGTTTACCAATTATTTGATGAACATCATGCCATGCCATCATGAACATAACAGTAAGCCTTACCAAAAACAAAACTTGAGCTCACTGATTACGTATCAAACAAAAGAAAGTAAATCAAAAGACTCCACAAGTCAAAGCACACGTCTGTTTGAAATCCCTATACACAACTATTTCGGAACTAGGGTACTATGTCGGTAATAATTACGATAAGTCAGGAGTAAAATGGATCTTACCTTGGGAACTTTGGGAGGACTCTGTAGAAGAGGAACTACTATCTGTATAACTCTGTGGGTCTTCTTTTCCCTCTTGAATAGATGAATTACCAGCTTCTGCTACCCTAGATGCTTGCTGTAATGTTTCTGTGACCAGCTGCCTTGTTTGTTCACTAACAACTGTGGCTTGAAATGTCACTGGTTTGGGTTTAATAAGAACCTAGAAGAAAAGCAGAAATATACCCAGTTTAAATTTTAGAGCACTATTTAAAATGCTAAACTTCTAGTCATGAACTATTATTTTCCTGACATGGGAAACAGCATTCTGTACATTAATTATGCTTTGGGCACAGCACTGTTTATCAGAGACTAATTCCATCTATGAACAAATTACAGTCAAGCCACATACAACATTTTAAATGGTACATGCCAGAATGCAACAGCCATAATTCTGACAAGAGGCTCTGTCCCTGTTTTTTCTTGTCTATAATGACTTCAGAAGTCATTTACAGTCTGTTGGCTATACACTAGAATGACAGCCAGCCACCCACCATGGATTTCAGAATGCCTAGATTCCCAATGGCACAATAACAGTCCAGAATTTCTTCCTTCTGAACATTTATTTTACTTTTTTGAGAGAAAGAGTGAGAGGCAGACAGACAACGCATGAGCAGGGCAGGGGCAGAGAGAGAGGGGGACAGAGGATCCGAAGCCCAATCATTTGGGCTCTGTACTGACAGCAGAGAGCCCGATGTGGGGCTCGAACCCATGAACCATAAAATCGTGACCTGAGCAGAAGTCAGGAACTTAACCAAGTGAGCCACCCAGGCACCCCCTGAATATTTATTAACATAATAAAAACAAAACCCTAGTTTGTTTAAACCACCATTCTTCAGGTTTCTTTTCATTAGCAACCAAATGAAATTCCTAATTGAGACACCTGTGCAAAGTAAATATGGTTGGGACATAAGTCATCTTTGAAGAAATCCCAGGAGAAAAACTGACTTACACAACTATCATTAGAAGCAATACGGTACAACAGATCAACTCCTGGCAAAGGTCAAAACCATAGACACTAAAACAAATAAAATGGGAGAAAAATTTCAAACTGAACTATTCTACTTCAAAATTTGAACTCTAGGAGTTGACTTCAATTGGGTGCCTGGAATGAAAATGTTAACTCACCACAATTATTTTTATTCTCCATATGTAAGATTCTAAACCCTTCCGGACTCTTATTAAGTCACTCATTCAAGAATTCAAGAATGAAAACATGGATTATACTATGACTTAGATGATGGAGCAAATGAAAATTGTTACAGTTGAAACTTAAAGGCAATTTGGACTTATTTCTAATCACAAAACTTATTTGTTTAGATATGCAAACTATTTGACTATGATTCTGAGGGAATGCATTCTAAAAGCATATTAATACCTTTTACAAAAATTCTAGGATACCATTTCTCAACCAAAGCTGACATTACTTCCTTTGATATTCTCACAAAATAAATAGTACCCTGGCAATGTAAGATTAAATCCTGAGCCTCAATTTTCTAGGCAAATTTCCAGAAAAATTCCCTTATCTTCTATTGCTTGACAATTGAGCAGTTCTCTAGCTTCTTCATTATTTAGGTTTCAAGTAAAATAAATTTTATAATAAAGTGCTTTCAAAGGCCATATTAGCTTATAAAAAATACTTTTCTTTGAGAGATTCCAAACAACTACCACTCTCTCTCAAACACCTACTTCTCAAATAACAATACCTTCAGCAAATTTTATTCTAAGGGAGTTTTTTTTCTCCAATCTTTGCTTATGACATGGCACAAATATTTAGATACCCACCACCCCCCAAAAAGTACTGAAGAGAAAAACACACATTTTGAAAACAGACAATTACACACATTTGGTCATAACTTTTAACAATCTTATTTTTTTAAAGATTACTGATCTTTTCATTCAAATTTCTAACACGGAATTTTATAAGTTTGAAATATACCAGAGCCAAGAAAATTCATCATATCTTACAGCATACCTGTGTTTTCCCTTGCTGCCCATAAACAATTTTTGTTGGGATGATTTTAGCTGCTGGTTGAACTGTGGAACCTATTCCTTTTGGCTGAGTTACAATCATTTTGGTGATGGGTCTTGTAGCAGTGATAATAGCTGGCTTTGCTCCTGTTGGTACCGTCTGAATAGTCTTTTCTCCCTAAATTAAAGTCAGTGAATATATGAGATTTCTATGTATTTCAATGATAAAAACTGTCCTTTTACTGAAAAATCGCAGAGAGGTTTTACCAGGATGTTAGGAACAGGAATGTAAATTAAACAGCAAAGTACAATGTTTCCAGGTGATCACAAATCCTAGACTTAGTTGAGATGGTCCTAGAAGTCCTCTGCCCAATTTTCTGTCCAAAGAAGGCATTAATTGTTTCCTGATGAGTGAATTTTAAAAATTATCTCACACGGGAATACTTACTACACCATTCCATTCATAGAATACATACATTAGAGTAGTTAGGAAATTATAAAAGAATAATTATAGAGATTATAGGTCTCCCTCACCCCAACATTATCTTCATTTTCTAATTTACCCGAAATAAACACTCATGTAACAAAAAATTACTGTGCATTATACCAGTAGCTAAATGTACACATATAAATAAACTAAGCTCCCCAAATACAAAATTATAAGGCTAAATAGCAGAATGTCTATGTGTAAAAGCATGGGCAAGAGAGGAAATTAGCACATATTAACAATCTTTCTGAGGTTATATGGGAAAATTAGAAAAAACAACAGTGCATTTCCCACATTTTACTACTAGCATGTTACTAATATCACTTTAGTCTATTAACTAGGTAGCTTAAGCCCATTAACTTTTCACCATTTTTTGTACTTTTGTCTGCTTTATTCTTAAGTACCATCTTCTGGTCATTTATAGAATCAATACTTGAGCTTTCTTAAATTCAAAGACAGTGATTTTACTAAATTATTAAAATTTTACAAGTTAAAATCCATAAAACTGAAAGGAAAAATGTTCACCTTTTTAGTTTGTAACTTTCAGTCATCATCATCTAAATGTGTGGCCATCCAACTTAGTAGCCATAAAAACAAAGCACCCAGGTGAGCTGGCCAAAGGTAATCACTCAATTTAGAACTAAATATGATTATAAAAATCACAAGTTTAACTATCTGCTATAATAACCTAAGGAAAATATAAAGTGCCTGTCAATCATATTATTACTTATTTTAATACGCACACATCCTTCACAGCAGCTTCTTTGGGAGGAGCTCTAATTCATTTGCCAACAGCCACTAGTTTTCAAGTGGCTGTGCCTATCTATTAAACAGCTTCACGGGCTTGGTCCAACTATAATGACCCATTCAAAGCCTATCAAAACCAACTAGCAGGCTATTTTTAAAAAAATCTCTTCTGATGTATGTGTGTGGACATGCCCAGGTGAGCAAGCTGCTGAGTAGAGGAGAATATACATATGTGTAGTCTTATGCTCTGATCTGCTTGTTTTACTATCATTTCCTGTGTCAAACTGTTGCTCTTAGATATTATGTGGCAGCTAGGATTCATACACAACTCTTCAATGTTTGTGACCACAGGACTTAGAGTACATGGCATCCCATCTTATATATCAAATTCTATGAAGTTGCCAAACAAACTATAAAAGGGTTCTGAAAATCTGAATTCTAATCCAGGCTTTACTATTGGCTTACCATGTGAACTCACACTAGGAACAATCTGTTTTCCAACATGATGGAACTATCTAATGCCAACAGTTTAAAGACTGTGATGCCTAGGAAACTACCAGAGATCTGCAATGAAGTACAACAGTCTTTTTTTCTAGCAAAGTAGGGACATTACCAAGCCTAAATAGTTAAGCACCACAAGTAATAACAAGAAGAGAAAAACTATTTATTGGTGACATCCTATGTGCCAGGCACTGTCCGAAGCACTTTCAAAACAGCTCCCAGTTACTGAACAAACTCACTGGTAAAGATCATAATCACCAATTTACCAATGAGGAAATTAAGGATGAGAGAAGTTGAATAAATCTGCCAAAAGTCAAACTACAATACAAGAGACAAAGCCCAGGTTTGTCTAACTCCAAACCTCTGCACAATTGCCTTCAGAACTATAAATTAATCTGTTATTTGCTATTTTTTTTAACTAGCTCAAAGAGGTAAAATGAAAGTAAAACCCTCTCAATTAATTTTCTTAATCCTAAATATCTCACTTGGCCCAGCCGAGGCCCATACTAGGCTTATGTCTACTGGCCAGAGGCAGCAGTAAAATTGTCCTCTAACAGAGGTCTCCCTGTAGTTAAGGCAGTGGAATCTTCCATTTGGACCAAGCTAAGCATCTAAATCATGGTCATAAGCAACCCAGTTATGAGCAACGTGTTTTAGGAATTACTGTGAAAAATGGCATCAGTTAGTGGTGCTTTAACAGTTATTACATCACAGTAGTGGTAAATCAAGCATACAGGCCATTGTGGGGTTCTGAAGTCCTTAGGCAAATATTTGTATAGCTGGTTTTTAAAATCCTCAGTGGACTGCTGAGTCTGCAGTACAAGCTCTTACTTACTCCAGCATTTAGCAATGTTGTGACAACGTTTTTGCCCGGGAGGCCTTGAATGGTCGTTCCTTTTCCTGTAGTCTTTTGCACAACAATCACATTGGGCTTGGAAGTCATTGGGATTGTAGTGATTTTGGTAGTCGTTCCTTAGAGAAGGGGGGAGAAAAGGAGGCCTGAGTTAAGGACTAGTGATATTTGGTTATTTCTGTTTATGTTGTACACAATTAACACACGTAGTCCGTGTCATCCCGAGATGACATGAAGGCTGTCATGAGGATGAAAATGAAGGCTCGGAACAATAAGCACAAGTTGTCCTAAAATGAGAGAGTGTTAAGAATTGACTTTTACAGTGGTCATCTTTTTGGAATTTGAAAACCTACACACCAAAATCAGAATCTAAAAATATCACTATCATTTTCCCCATCAATATTCCTCCCTTAACTAGTTAACTGAAATCTAAATCTGTATTCTTTGACAAATACTTCCCCAAACCCAGTATTATATCTATTTTTGACTGGTGTGATGGGAAAACTCTTCTAAAAGAATATCAAGAGAGAGGTAAATACTTATCAAAATACTTATCAAAATTCACATAACATTAGACTCTTGAGAAAATTTATGAGAATAAGCCATTTATATTTGTGTGATCAAAAAAAAATAAACACTCAAAGACCAAGTCACAGATTAAACATGTCCTCTTGTTATCTGCAGCACTCTGAAGAGTCTGAGGATGATATCCCAATGTGTATATTTATACAAAAAAATTTATATTTTCAACAATTAAGATCTATTTCATAGACCTATATCTACTGAGCCAAACATATTATCATGCCCTCTTCCCCACATCCTTCCACAATCTGCTTCTCTTATACCTATCAAATTTGTACCCTATATTCTTCTGACTGGCATGGCTGGAAATCCTGGTACAAATCTTGCCCTGTCTTCCCTGTATCACCCAAGAAAACAAAAGCCCCTTGCGCTCCACACTCTATCTTTTTGTATCACTAATTCCTCAGTGCTTAGCACATACTGTATGGCAATTACTCAGTAATAGTTGTTCAGTCGAGTATGTGAATGAACTCAATCTGTCACCAACACATGTCTTCTTTCAAAATGTTATTGATGTTGACTCAATAGACCCTCATCTCTTTTAGTTTGCCATATTTTCTCCCTATTGCAAGTTTCATACAAATAGATCTGAAGCTCCTGTTATATCAAACATCCTGAAAAAAATTTTTTTGTCATGTCAAGAACCCAATACATTGGTCAAATTGGTCAAAAACCTTCCTAGGGCAACTGGCTGGCTCAGCCGGCAGAGCAGGTGACTCTTGATCTCAGGGGGTGTAAATTTAAGCTCCACGCTGGGTATAGAGATTACTCAAAAAAGCGAAAAGCAAAAAGCCTTCCTAATCCCTATTTTATCTAGTTCTAACTTTCCCTCTTAGGTTTCAAAATCCTGTATGAACTGACCCTTAATCTAAAAATTTGATCTTATTTGTTCCAACTCTTACCCTACAATACATGCCACACACTATTCTAACAAGTAACTTCTTCACTATGGCTTCCTATTATCTGTCACACAGAGCCCAAATTCCTCTTAGGTTTCCAGGTTCTGTCGGACTTTAATTTGCAGGATTATCCAATATATACCTCTCCTTCAGTATGTTGGTTTCCACATTGGTCCTTGAGCGTATGAGTCGCAATGCTACCTCTGTGCCTGTGATTTCCTCTGCCCATGAAAACAGGCAAGTCACATTGTTCTTCTATAGGCTTGCACATCATTTATCAAATGACTAAGCACATAACAGGTACTCATTAAAAACATGACTGATTAATATGTTCCCAAGAAGAAAAGTTAAACAAAATTTTATTCTTTTCTACTGGAAAAATTTAGCATTCCTTACTAGAGTTTTAGTAATGAGACTGCACCAAGAATAAGAATATTCTAGTCAATTTTTGGCAATTTTATTACTTCATATATCATTTTAATATATTTGCCATCATCTGATGTCTTGTCAGTCCAAGGCAACACAGTCAGGTTACATAAAAACACACTTTTATTCACACACGAGCTTCACAAATGTTTTTCCCTGTATCTGTAGATTCTGAACAGTAAGCTGTTAAGAGCCACAAAAACCACACTGTCCATTATTCACATCTATCAACTTCAACTCTTAATTAACTCCAATCCCTCATACATGATTGATTGTGATGACTCCTTCAATAATACAGTCTCATTAAATACTTGGTTAATAAGGGGTGCCTGGGTGGCTCAGTCAGTTAAGCATCTGACTTCGGCTCGGGCCATGATTTCACATTTTGTGGTTT